CACTTGTTTTAGTTTCTACCTACCACGCAGACCTCCTTAAAAAAAAAAAGAAAAAAAAACTATTGGACACCAAATATGCATACTTGCAAAAGATAGGGAGAAAATGAAAAAGTAATAAAAAGCCTCTTTCCCAAGTGGCTGCAGGCTGACTCACGCCGCACACTTTCGTATAGTTTAATAACTGTATAGTACCGCCTAATAATACAAGACGCCATGTTGCTGCTGCTACTACTGAGTCGAGGCATCTAGTTTTGGACGGCGGCGGCGGCTCGGCGCACAATAACGCTTTTCCTGAAGGAGGAGCAGAAAGAGAAGCAGCAGCTAAACGCCGTGCGAGAGGGAATGAGAGACTGTCGTGCTCGTTACGCGCTGAGAGACTTTCCAGCTGAGACTCGGGAGACGACGACGTCGCGGCGTCGCGCGGTGTATAGGTTTTGTGTCTGTGCTGCCCGGGTCCTGCTCTTGAACTATAAACTTTCAAAAAAAAAACAAAAAAAACAAAAAAAAAAACTCCTGTACACTAATTGCCACAGTGAACCAACTTTTGTGTAGTGCTCACCAGCGACAAGGTGCGGGGTGTGCGGCATTTGATGCGTTATCTCCAGGGCTGATAAGTGTAGCGCAAAAGCACTTCAGCGGCGCGGCCTGATTCATCCCTCTTCCACGAAGTCGATGACGGCGCGTCAGCCGGGAGAGCCCTTTCGCAGAGCCGAAGTGGCTTTACTCGGTATTGATTGGAATCAATACCCTCCCAAGGTTAAGGTGTGATGTAATTACACCTTAATTACACCTTAACCAAGGTTGGTGGTTCCTCGGCCTGTCCCTCCGAGGAGCGCGTGGAGCTGCCAGTTTCGATGTGTCCAGACCCGCCCCATGAATGTACCCCCACCATGAATGTACCTCCCAGAAGAAGCCATGAATGTACCCCCCATAGCGTTGCATCAGCTAGGTGGTGCATTTATGGTGCCAAGGATGTACCCCCTACCCCCTTGGTGCCTTTTTTGAGGGGGTACATTCATTGCGCCACTGTTGTACCGCCCCCCCCCACTCGTCACGGCCCTTCAAAGGAGTACAAAAGTGGTGCCATCAATGAACCCCCCCAAAAACAGGCCTCAGGGGGGGTACAACAGTGGCGCGATGAATGTATCCCCCCCCCCCAAAAAAAAAGGCACCAAGGGGGGTACATCTATGGCACCATAAATGCACCCCCTAGCGAATGCAACGCTATGGGGGGTACATTCATGGTGGGGGTACACTCTTAGCTCTGCACCGGGCCCGCGTGACGGGCGCCCTCACCACCACGACGCGACCACCAGGTTGGCCCAGGCCGCGGGGTGCGTGGACGCGTGAACGGACGGCTGTGATGATGACACACCTTCACGAATCCAGACGACAGACACAACAATATGGGACGGAAATTATGGTGGTCCGGTACACTGTTAAAAAATCTGTGGAAAAACCACAGACAACCACAGAAAAATTCCCAACAGAGGTGTACAGATTGCTTCTGTTACAGAAATTTTCAGTTATTTTGTGAACACAGAAGTCTGTGCTTCAAAATCACAGAAAAAACAGAACAGAATCGTACAGATTGTTTCCGTCATATAAATAGTCTGTCATTCAAGGGGTGCGAACCCATCTATAACAGATATTGTGTCTCAGTGGTAAGGCGTCCGAAGACGCCGCTAGATGGCACTCTACATTAGCTCTCGCTGATCACTTCCGTCCTGGTCACCATGTAGTGTCCCACCCTAACACGCGTTAAATGGGAAACAGTCTCCCGCGCGCTGAAGACCTGTACCAAAGCGCCAATCAAATTGAATTTTTGACTCACTTTGGGTACCAAAGTATCCTACGCAGACGACGACCCTTCTATTTCAACAAAACTGTGTCTAGAAAAGAATGGCTAAGTCACAGAAAAATATCTGTAATAATTCTGTGGCAGGTGTACGGAGTAGCACAGACGTTCTGTAACAGAAGCTCCGTGGTTTTCTGTACCTTTGATTCCGTACCCTCTCTGTGGTTTCAGCACAGATTTTGACGGACGTTCTGGGCAAAAAATTGACCATAGTTTTTCTGTGTTTTTTCCGTGGTTTTTTCTAACAGTGTAGTTGGGATGACCGCCATACTAAATGCCGGCCTGGAGCGTTGCAGCCTTCAGCGGGCGAAATCGGGGCATTGATAATAGAGACGAACGTTCTTAAACGGCAAAGAACGGCGAGGGGCAGGACACGCACTGAGAGTCAATAACGACGTTGATATAAAAACATGACTTACGCCTGTCTGGGCAATAGTTCTCGTGAGTTCTCGCAATACCTTTTGGTGCGTCGTGCATTGTCATGGTCACGTTTTTTGTTGTTTTTTTTTTTTTTAGCTTTAGAAAGGATTTATGACTGCTTGCTCATAGCGAACTGGACCTCCCCTGGTTACTTAATCAGCTCTTGCCGGGCTGACGGCGGCTCGGGTCCCGAAGGGTGCATAACTCCGAAAAACCCTGGACAGAGATTGCGCAATTCCTAACAGATTCGGAGGGATTCGAAAGATTCTTGAAAAATCTATAGATTCTGAAGGATTGTGAAGATTGGAAAAGATTTGTAGTCGGGCTCTCACTTTTACCCGCATACCCGGGTAACCCGAGTACCCGCCCGCCCGGGCAGGAACCGGGTAAGCGGGCCTTACCGGGTAACACGGGTTTACCCGGTCAGAACCGGCGGAACAGCGCCTGTAGGTAGGCTATTTTACATACCGGGTCTACCCGGGTACCCGGGTTACCCGGATTACCCGCTGTTACCTGGTAGGGCCCGTTTACCCGGTTCCTACCCGGGTTAGCCGGGTAGGGAAGGTGGGGTACTATGGGACACGGGGAACTATGGGACACACTCAAAATCCGCGCCACGGTTGCCCGAGGAGTCACGCGCGTGTTGCCATCTTTTTCTCCTGGGGTCAGCGAGTGTTTTAATATAGGGTGGTTAGTTACCCGTTGCGGCAGTCCGGTGTTAGAGGCGAGAGAAGTTTAAAGTAGAATAAAACAGGCAAAAAAATAATATTTTTACTTCTTTTCTTTCCTATTTGACTAAACACTAGCTACATTTATCGTTGTATCCGTGTTCGGTATTCATTAGTGGGGTTCTGTGGACGATTTGGGCATGTGCAGAATTTTCTAGAAGGTGGGGTTTTCCCACCAGAGCCCGAAATGTGCGGCCGTGCTCCGCGTCACCAATGGGACACTAAATCGTGGGGTACAATGGGACACGAGACCGAGGCCAAAAATGTTAAACACCATTAAACAAAATGCGCTCGTTGCGGTAAAAACATCATTTCGCGACCCTATAGACGAAAATTTAATCCGTTTTGCCGTATCTCT